CTGTGGTTTGAGCTCTTGTAACTTTTAAGAAACTGTCAAATTTGGTATACTAATGACAAATTTATAGTCTTCTGTAATGGTGCTGAATTTTTTTCCTTTTTACAAAAAAAAAATTCCAGAAGTCTTGAAACTAAAATAGTTTAGTAACTAGGAGAGGTCTGTCTTTAACATATCAGCTAAAATAGTAACTAGGAGAGGTCTGTCTAACATAGCACCTTTTAAGAACTATATGAGATTAAATTGCTAATAGCAATCCAATAAGGTGAGGTAGAAATTTTAAGGAAGCAGAGATTTTAATGGGAAAGATCAACTCAGAAGAAGATAGTTGTGCAAGTCAGAGGTCAAATGCCCTTAAATTGTACATTTAAAATTGGTATGTTTTGCTGTAGACTTCAAAAGTACATATTTTTTTAATCTTCCTTTCCCAACATGACAGCAGACAAACTCGCAGGCAAACAGGAGCGTCTTAACAGTAATATTAAACCAATCATTGAGATTGATTGATAAAACATTGCCACTTGGGGAGTTTTAAAAGACATTTTCTTTTTTACTTTGTTTTAATTTTGTGTGTAATAAATGCTAGTACTATGTAATCCCTATAAACATCTTTGGGTTCTTTAATTTTAAAAAACTAGAGGGTAGAAGCAGAGGGATGAAGATGTGCGGGGGTAGGGATTAATCATGGAGTTGTACAATTTGATAAAGGGGTGAGGCAAATTGGAAGAATATGGTCTGGAAAAGTATTTCAAGGGTTGTTCTTAATTAGTGTAAATTTTAAAAGTCCCAAAACTTAACTAGAAGCTTCAAAACATTTGTAAACCTCTGCCATTGTTCATCTGTATAGAAAATAAAGTTTATACTGAAAGGTTGGTGGTTCAAACCCACTAGCTGCTCCACAGAAGAAAGATCCTTTGTCTTCAGAAAGATATATAGCATAAAAAATCTGGACAGATTTGTAAAGTTGCTGTCACAGCTCACTAGCAACAAATTTATGGCAAAAATACTTTTCTATCACCTTTTGGGTTATTTATAAAACAGTAAAAAAAAAGCTTTGTGTTATGTGTGTCACGTGTTTGCCTGTGACTGGAGGGAATAGTCCCTGAGGAGGCTTAAAACTGCTGGACTACAGTAGTTGGCCCTATATTCACTGTCTTGAAGCTGAGTCAAGAATGAACAGTGTCGATTATGGGAAGAAGATCAGAGGGAAGCTGGTGGTGGCAGATAAAAGGAGTGAAAAGGCTCATGAGATAATAACAGTACTGGCATGTTTGATAGTGATGCCTGAGTCACTGTTGTGTGCCGTTGAGGACCAACCCATAGGTGACCCTCCAGCAGGTTTTCAGAGGCAGGAGATTATCCATACTACTGAGCAGGATTACAGCACAGATTCTTAGACTAGAGCCAGCAGAGTTTCTTAAGTCACTTAAGTGTTAAGATGAATCAAACCAAACCACCCTCAAGTTGGAATCAAAACCTCCAGTGGTTTTTGTAGGGCTATAAATCCCACAGAAAGTTTTCATATCTTCTGAGATGCCATTGGCAGGTTTGGTGCGAGTAAAAATGAGATGAGTAATCCAAGGCTGGGAAAGCCTGGGGCTAGATCATGTTGGAGCTGGTTTTAGGAAAAGGGTATGATTCAGGAGTAAAAAGCACCAGCTGCTGTATGAACAATGTATGTGTCAAGGAAGGTTTGGGTAGCAGGATCATGCTGATGAATTGGAACAATTACAAGGGCTTGGTGCTGTAGCACTGGAGAAAGGTCAATTTTCTGTTCGGTTTTAGAACTTGAACTGGAAAGATGCTGTTTGAATGTTGGAAAAGGGGAATCCTGGTCTTGGGTTTTTAGTCTAAGCAGTTAAAGGGAATCTGTTGTCTTGAACTTGGAGTTAAAGGTACCTGGGTTATAAGGAAATCCAGGGAATATAAATTGAATATTTGCAACACTTTGTCATTTATGTGAAAGGATCCATTGAGGGGGTATTTGTCTTTTCATTCAATAAATCATACATTCTGTTCCATAATGTTAGTTACACACAATGTCTGATCATTCAACCTACCATGCCCTTCTCTCATTCAAGTCAAGTATTCAATATCCATTAATTTTCTACTCCCACCTGTAATGATAACTAGATTGATAACCTCTGTAAGTAAACCTGATTTTTATAGTAGTGGTCGTTATGGGATTTGACCTTCTGTGGTTGACTTGTTTCAGTCAGTCTAATGCCCTCTAGACTTACCATGTTTGATGGATGTTTCATTAGTTTTTCATAGTTAAAAAGGTTATATAGTTGCTGTAGAGAAATTGTACAAAAAAGTTGAATAAACTTTCTCATCACAGGTAGCATTTTAATGTTTTGTGTGTTTATGTTTCTGCAGGTGTAATTTTCACTTTATAAATAAAAGTTTGGCCCACTTCATGGTCTGGGTAATGGTCGAAGCCTCTAAAGTGCTTGTGTATTCTTAGCATATCATTGAGGACCCCTCAAACTGGAAGAAAACTCCAAAAACAAACTAGACTTTACCCCTCCAGCAGGTTTTCAGAGGCTGTAAATTGCAGGGGAGAAGATTGCCCATCTTCCTGCCAGTGGGTGGTGGAGTTCTACCTGTCTTTCAGGATGGCTGTGTAATTCCTTGTTTGCTAAACTACCAGAGATCTGTTGAGACACCCTAGATTCTTAGAACCTATTTGGTAGAAGAGTTCATGGTGTTTCTAAACTTTAGCTGCACAAGTAGAAGTTCCAGCAAAGAACCTGCCCTCTGACTAAGAGGAAAGCCATTTATCATTTAATAATGTTAGATAACACAACCATCACAACATACGCTTGCCGTTGAACTCAGAACCCATCAAGTTTCTGAGGCTTTAACACAGGGAGGAGAGTGTCCGTCATTCTTCCCCTACAGAGTGACTGGAGGATTCAAACAGCCAGCCTTTTGGTAGCCCAACGAACTGTTACCTGGGTTCTGGCCTCAGTCCTTTCAGTGCTTCTGCTTGGTCTTCAATATGACAAATTGCTTTGGGAACTTCACCTTTCTTAGAACTTTGTAATATAGTAAGGTTGTACTTCTGGTAGCCTAGCGATGAGAGAGTTGCACTCCCAGATCGACAAGAGTTTGAATCTGTCAATTGCTCTGTTCTTCCCATGCAGTTTAATGGTCTCAGAGGGTCGGCTGTGAGTAGGTTCCCTCTCACAGCAATGAGAATGAGATCGTACTACCTCAACAGTGGGAACAACTCGAGTCTTCGGATGATTAGCTATACATACACTTGTCCCTATTTTGTGGGACATAACAAGGTCTGGTGAGGTAAAACTGTAGGAGTTGCGTGCTAACCACCACGATGGGCAATCTCCTGAGCTCACAACCTTGGAAACTCAACTGTGAGTGAGTGCTCACAAAGCCAGGTCCACTATTTAACAAAGGCCGACACCGGGGCAGAAAGTTCTGGTTCCTCTTAAAGTGGTACTGTTTCATATAAACCTCGCCAAAGTAACGTGGGGGGTTATTTTTCCAGATTAATCCAGTGGTGATGCGTGCCCGGAACATTACCTAGCACTCACAGTACTTCCGGTGTTGACCACGGCAAAATTTACATGTTAGCCTTTTTGTTTTCACTTTGTCACTATTTGTATAAATAATTGAAGCAACTGGGAACATCCTTGTAGTAACACCATTTGTTTACAAAACTAATTACTTTCTGAGGTTATATCCTAGACAGTTACAAGGGCACGAACATTTTCAATGTTCTTTCAAAATACACTTTTTAACTTAATAGCACTTAGAAGTATAATTCATCAACTCTTTTTCTCTTATAAGTTGTATTTTAAAATTGAACTTCACACACACACATAATTAACGAAGTTGTTGGGAGTGTTTGAGGGTTTCAGTGAAGTGGGTGATTGTGACTGCAGGCAGAGGGCGGCCACAGACCGTGAGCAGGCAGCAGGAGGCGCGGAGCTTGTGCAAGGAGGGTTGTAATGAGTTGCAGCAACTCGACCGCATCTAACGAGCAATTTATACATTAAGGATTTTAGGTTTTCTTTTTTCAAACTTTTTTACTTACAATTTTGTGTGTGTGTACCGTCAAATTGGATCTGAATGGTACAGGTGGAGATTGTCCCTTCTTCTCCAGCAGAGCAGCTGGTGGATTTGAACTGCTTACCTCTGGTATTGCAGAGCAGCTTTTTGCTACTAGGCTATCAGAGCTTGCCTAGTTTTTTTTCTTGTGATTTTCATTTACTAAGTTTATGCTTTATTTCTTTTAATTTTGCATTATATAGTCTCTATTACACAGAATTGTTAAAGTTAAAATATGTACGAGAGGAGATTACTCCGCTTTTTTCCTTGCTGGTGGTGATGCTTGTGTGCCAGCCAGCCAGAACTGACCCACAGCTGACCCTGCGGCGGGTTTTCAGGGGCGGTAAATTGCACGGGAGGAGATTGTCCATCCTCCCCTGGAGCAGCTCATGGATTTGAACCATAAGCCTTCGGGATTTCATTACAACCAGAGCTGCTTTCCCCCTTGAAGGTGTATGGAAACCACCAGAAGGCACAGTCTTTGGATTGGTATGGCAACTCCTATGGATTAACTACCAGAGATTTTTCTGTTACTCCTTTCACTTCATTTTTTATTTTAATTCTCCATTCAGAAATGTAATCTTCAACTATATTAAAAGATTAAGTAGTAAAGACATCATACTTTGAAAAGTAGGGAGTCAGCGAGACAGGCTGACACACTGACAGTGATGGTGGAGTTGAGCATGGTGGAGACTCAAGGATGGTGCAGGTTAGAATAAGGTTTGACCTGTTCTTAAGGTCACTACATAGTTGATTCCACAGATCTAACAACAATAAATTTTAGGCTTTGGACTTTTCCTTTCATGTATGAAAGAAGGAAAATAATGTTAGTGTATTTTCTTGTCTAGTACCTACCTAGCTTAAAATATAGAAAAATAAAACTTTTGACATATATTTTAAAGATTCCAACTGATTTCTCACTTCAGGTTTTACAGACATTTCCCCAGAGGAGTTGAGGCTTCAGTACCATAACTTCTTAACCAGCAATAATTTACAGAGTTATGTAAGTTTATTTCCTACCTACCTCCATAACAGATGAGCTAGCTGTTAACTCTCTTTTCACTGTTGGCAATTGTTTGTGTGTTAAGTTGATGAGATCTTGTAAAGTTTGTTTTTCTCAATAAAATATTTTATTAGAATTGATTAATCTATTATATATTGATTATATAGAATGATAATATGCTTTGCTTATAGTAATAATTGTGTCTTCAAATCAGAACTGTTTCATAGCTGACCGTCTAGCTGGTTTTCAGAAGGTAAATTGCATGGGAAGACATTGCCCATATTTCTCTCGTGGAGCAGCTGGTGTGTTTGAACCAGCTACTGTTGGGTTCACAGTGTAAACTCCTTACCACTAAGCCACCAGAGCTCTCCTGAGTAATTAAGAATATCAGTTTGATTAAAAATTAATTATGTAGGAATCAGTCCTAAAATGCAGATCCTTTTGTCATTTGGGCATCTCTTAGATACACAAACCTTGGTTATTGCTGCAAATAATAAATAACATGCAGTCTTGTACTGATTAGCATTCTTACTTAGAAAATTTTTTATAGAAGTTCCAGCTCCGAGTGGTAAGTAACTCTATATTGCTAGGTACTTGTGATGCTTCAATCAGTTCATATAAACAGTTGGAAAGTGAGGAGAGAGTACTGTACCTGGAATATTTTTGGCAAATAGGAACAGGTCAGTGTAAATTTTTTGTTGAAGTCATAAAAATATATTATAAAGTTTTTATTATTTTGGAGGATAAGGATATAGAACAGTTATTACACTGGTTGACTTAAACAGTAGTATTGATTAAATATTCTGTTTTTTTCTGTTTAGCTAAATTTTGTCCAACAATTAATAAATCAATGGCGGCACAGGGTAAATGAATTAAAAACTCTAAATACATCAGCTAACGTGACGTTGGTGAGTACTAACATATCTTCCTAAGGAATAGTGAGTGTATTGCTGGTTGTTTTTTTTTTTTTTTGCAGAGTATATATAATTTTAGATGTAAAAGCTCTGTCAATATTGATAGATTTACAACAAAAATATTGATATATTGTTAAGAGCTGAATTATCATTTAGAGTCAAGGAGCTAAAATTGTCTTCTCTCTTTTCCTGTGTCAGAAAAGTATAGATAATGATGCTTTTCTAAAAATAATGGTTTGGAAAACATTACATGAATTTAATTCATGCACCTCAGATTGGTCCATTCCTGTACCAGTGTATACTTTGGTCACGCCTGAAGAACATTCATTCACCACGTTCCTTATCATGTACAGAAATCTGCTTATCTCCAGAGTCCATGGTCCTGACGATAGCATGTTTATTTCCTTCCAAAAAGTGATGATTACTTCCATAAAATGTTCTTGAGAACTTTATTTTAAAACGTTATTTTCAGAATTTAAAACTTCTAATTTCCCAGCCAGTTTCTGTTTCCACTCTCAAAAAGGATATGATAGAAATATCATATCTTAGTGAATGGCCATTTAACAGTTGTGGCAAACCATTGCTTATTTAACTATGCTTCCAAAATAATTTTGACTAATGTCCAAGCCAATTTCTTCCATTTTTAGATTGTTGTAATTCCAGTAGAAACTAAGTATAGAAATTATCTGTGGAAAAGACTAGATCCCTAAAAATCTTTGTAATGCCATTAGAATTTAGTAGGATGTCTTGAGTGCATTCTGGCCCTGGGTAAGAGGTGGCCCACCGTCACCTTTTTTTTCCTCATGGCTGGAAGTTCCCTGCTTTTCCCTGGCTTTCTTTGCACTGTTGTTCCATACATACTGTTGGACAGCCCACCTTCAGCTAGCTTATCATGTATTGATAGTTCATTCCTTCTTTGCTGAATAGAACTCCATTGTATCACTTACTCATTACTGTCTAGTCTGAACCAACACGTAGCTGGCCCACCATTGGATTTCTGTGGTTGTGAATCACATAGGAGATTGCTCATCCTTCTCCCTAGTGGATCCAAACCACCAAAGAGGTGGTGACTTTGGGTTAGTAGTGGAACTCCCTAGAGCCCTAATCCATTGTGTGTTGTTGTTATGCGCCATTGAGTCACAACTGCCTCATAACTGGCCCTCAGGTGGGTTTTAAGAGGCTGTAAATCTCATGGAAGGAGATTATTTCTCCAGTGGAGCAGCTGGTGGGTTAAAACCACATGCCTTTGAGTTGGCAGTACAGTTCCTTACAACTTGGCCACCAAAGCTCCCTAATCCAGTGTATGTTGTTGTTTTATACCATTGAGTTGGAACTGGCCCATAACTTATCCTCCAGTGGGTTTTCAAAGGCAGTAAATCACACTAGAGAGTGCCCATTTTTCTCCTGTGGAACAGCTGGTGGGTTTGAACTATATGCCTTTGGGTGGGCAGTGCAGCTCCTTACCAGTAGGCCACCAGAGCACCCTAATCCATTGTAAAGACACACTATAGTTTACCTATCTCTTTAATTGTTGATTAATATTACACTGGAAAAAGTCCAGACCAAAATAAAAGAGAGTACATAATCTATAATTCTATTTATCTAAAGTTCTGCTGTTTTTGTTGTTGTTCTTGTTGCTGTTGTATGTGCCATTAAGTCTGAAGCAATGTACAGCTGACCCTCCAGTGGATTTTGAGAGGCAGTAACAGGAGATCACACAGGAGGAGATTACCCTTTTTTCCCACAGAGCAGCTAGTGGACTTGAATTGCATACATTTAAGTTGACAGCATAACTCTTTACCCATGAGGCCACCAGAGTATTACTTAGGATGAGATATGAACATATAAAGCTCTGGAGAGGACACACCTCGCCTGTACTGATAGAAAGCAGATGAATGATTGCTGTGTGCTAAGGGTAGGGAGGGTGTTGCCTGGGAAGAATCATGTAGAAAGTTTTAGGAGTGCTATACATGTTCTAAAATTTTATTACTGTGGTGGATATACATTTTTCAAATGTCATTGAAATAAATATATTTTAAAATGAGTATATTATAGCTTATATAAGTTACATATTGAATTACCTCAATAAAGTTAATTTTTTGAAAAATATTGGGGCTTTTAAATGAGAGTAATCAAGTTGCCTAGGTAAGACTTCTTGGAGGGAGGAAGTGATGAGTTCCTTATAAAGGAGATAATACAGCAAGCAGAGATGAAGCACATCATTTCTAAAGCAGAAACTAGGATACTCTAAATTAAGTTAATTTTAATAATGTTCTTTTTAGAATGTAATTGGGTGTCTACTTCAGTTCAAGCATTAGATAGAAAGTTAATTGATTATCTGGTAAAGATTCCTTTTAGCTAATGCTTAGATTTCTTAACAACATAAAGACATTGAAGTATACAACTAGGATTTTTAAAATTTTAATGTGTGCTCAATGTAGAAATGAAGAAAGTACTTAAATAAAATTAAGATGATCCATAATTCTGTCACCTTGAATAATATGCAAGTTATTCTGATTATTGTTTGAGGTGGTGCTGTTTTCATAGTATCATGCATCTTATTAAGGGTGTTTTCTTGTTTTAAGTATTAAACTACATTTTAAGGAAAATTTTTAAAATTGGATTTAACTGTGAAGTATACAGAAAAGATTCTTGAGAATTATCCATCAAACACTTTAATATCTGCATGTTGTTTTTAAAGCTCTCGGATAGAAAAGTCAGTCAACCAGCATCTGCATTTGGATTTGGCAGTCGACAAGGCTCAGCATTTGAATCAGCAGGTAATTTATCAAATAATGCAGAATTTCACTCATAAAGCCTGAAGATATGTTTACTGTCACTTTAAATCACCTTGCATTAAATCATGTTCCATTATGGAGACTTGATAGGCTTATCTCATCCAGCACTTACGAAGGCAAGACCAGGGTAGGCGTATTGTTCAAGAGACCCTACAGCACAGAATTAGAAATACATTTTGCTGATGGTTTTACAAGAACTTCATGAGAATAGATAACTCTGGTGGCAGCAGCAACCTTGAGAACAGTCTTGCCACTGAGTGTGATCCTGTGATATTGTCCTTATGCCACAACTTAGTCGAGATGGGCTGGCAAACCTCGGGTGAAAGTCTACTGTCTAGTCAGTGAGGTTGTCCAGATGGGCTGGCAAACCTCGGGTGAAAGTCCACTGTCTAGTCAGTGAGGTTGTCCACAGTTTCCTCTGTTCTCCTTGGCTGAAAGTCAGTTACAGTAAGAAGGGAATTAGTAGCAGAAAAGACAACAGCAATGTTTAAGTGAGTTTTTCTAGCTTCTCATGACACTTGTTCCAACAAACTTATAAATATCTACACAAGGCAAAGATAAAGAACATATGGGAGGAGTACGACTATTTCCTTGGTCTCATGGATTTTTGTTCTCTTTTTCTGGATTTGTAGGTTTTCCAGTGAATAACAGTGTCCGTGATAATGCTCAGAATTTTAGTTTTAAATTGAGCTCTGAGAACTCTTCGGCGTTTGGGAGCCAGTCGGCATTTGGGGCTGCCCCGTCTGCCAATCCTGCCATCACGACGTCCACTCCAGCTTTTGGGTTTGGAAAAACAGAAGGCACATCTGCATCTTTGTTTTCATTTAAAATTCCAGCACCATCTGGGTTTGGATCACCTGGATTTTCAGCATTTCCATCAACCTTGGCGCCAGGCTCTATAGGAGCTCCAGCAGCGCCAGGCTTCGGGAGTGGTACTTCTGGAGGAGGCTTTGGTAATCCAGCCTCACATCCGAATGCTGGCTTTTCCAAACCATCAAATAAAGTCTTTGGAAATAGCAGCATTGCTGCTTCTCTGCCAATCTCAAGTGGCAGCATCAAAACAGATAATATGTTATTCACGCCCAAGGATCAGCTAACAGCAGAAGAATTGAAACAATTTCAATGCAGGAAATTTACTCTGGGAAAAATTCCTTTAAAGCCACCACCTTTGGAGCTTCTAAATATTTAGAAGGGCAATATGTAAATATAAAAGAAACAACTATTTTATAATTAGATCTTAAGTGCTTCTTATAAAAAAGGAGGGATGTATACATCTGCACACACATACATAGTCATAAAGAAATAATTATGTTAAAATGTAAATTAATAACTATGGAACACAATGTACATAACTCTGTGGAACACAATGTACATGCATGAAATACAACGTATATGAATGATAAAAATATTAATAAAAAACTGAAAAAATGGGGAAAAAAAGAAATAATTATGTCAATAATAGCTAGACTTTTAAAATTTAACATTTTTCTTAAGCTGTTTAAGTTAAAAAAACATTACCTTCTCAGCAAAGAAGGGAATTTTCTTATTATAGTCATGAATGGACTCGAAAAGACTCAGTGTGAACTGAAGTACTTTTCTCATCCCATGCAACTTTACTCTGTCATCCTTTAAAGCTAAACCTTTATTTATTTATTCATATTGTGGAGATGGGACAGGAAAGAGATAATTTCTAGAACTATTAAGTAACGGGAAAAAAGTTCACCTACTTTAAAACAGACAAATGTAGCATTGTTTTCCATCATGTTAAAGAAGATTGAAACAGAGAAATAGATTTTAATCTAAAGTATGACAATCTTTTGTTATGTAGACCTGATTTGTATACTGAATTGTTTATTTCTCACATTGTCCTACGTGGTTAAATTGGATGAGGAATAGGAATTGCGATCTCATGTAAATAAATAGTATGGTAAGGCCAGGACTCGCCAGCTTCTTAAGCTTTCATGAGAAGCCTTTATGTCAAGCTTATACATGACATGTTTGTGTATCAAGGAGTGCTGTTCAGACACATCCTGTGTTATTAGTGATCTGAGAAACCAAAGACCTGTCCTGAGTTGAGGCAAAGGGGAATTCTGCTTCCTCAGGCCTCAAAGGCAGTAGCCCTGCTGCCAGAGTCCTTTGCTGATAAGGATCTGAAATGGAACTTATTTTTTTAAATAAAATTATTATGCAATGAAAGACACACTCCAAATTGATATGAAAGATTCATGTTAGAGGATCAAGAATATCTGTTAAATTGTTTTAAAAACTGTGTGACTCTGATTCATAATTTTTTTCCATTTATCCTGACTTAGCAATTCATTTGTATTTTTTATGATTATTAATTTTAATGAAAATTTACAGAGACTTAGGATTTTTATTCATTCATTGTTTCTCTTTTCTCCCTGCCCATCTGTCCCCCTCCAGTACACTCTTCTCTTTGAAAAGTAGAAGAAAAATTCTTTCATTGTTTTACAATCCCTCCCCCAAGGCCCACTCCACTATGCAGCTTTCATTCTGGACTCCTATCATGACAATAATACCTAATCATATATCCCTTTTAAACAGTTTTCTCCCTCATCTGTTTCAATGCAGTATACATTATTGAACCCATCTTTCTCATTCTCCCCCCAACCCTGATGTTAGTCCTGTTTTACAACAGTGGCACCATGCAGTATTTGTCCTTTTGTGACTAAGATATCTCACTCAGCATAATGCCCTCCAAGCTCACCCATTTTGAATAATATTGCATGAGTTCCTTGTTTTTCAATGCAGCATAGTATTCCATTGTGTGAATATACCACAGCTTCTCTATCCATTCGTTTGTTAATGGGCACTTACGTTGTTTCCAACTCCTTGCTATTGTGAACAAAGCCGCAATAAACATGGATGTACATAATACAGAATTCTTAAACTTCAGCATTTGAGACAGAATATACACTTGGGAAGTATAGTAGGTTTGATGCCATCCTTGATACAGAGAGGAAACCATAAGTTCTTGGTTTACTCTCATGCTCCAGAACCTTTCCCATATTTGTTCCAACATAAGAGTTAAATCTTAGAAAACTTCTACTTCATAGAATAAACCCTAGAGGCTGGTTACAGTCTTATCAGTTCCCTTCAATCTCAACTTCTTAAGGGCATCAGGATAGTGGTTATGTTCCTAGTATTTTCAAATTTACCTGATGATAAATAAATCACCTTCAACTCTCCTCATTGTTGTGGATGGAGTAGGAAATGACTCAGTTGACCCTCTGCAGGTTTGTAGAGACTTTAAGTTGCACAGGAAGAGATTGTCCATCTTTCTCCCTAAGAGATGCTGGTGGATGCAGACTGCTTCCTTTGGATTGGCAGCACAGCTCCTTCCCCGATGTGTTATGTTGCTAGTCCTGTACTTTGACCTCTACCAGGAATTATGTTTCTGTAAAAGTACTCCAGGAGATCCATCAAGCAACTCTATGAAACAGAAGTCTCTAAGTCTGTTGAAGCTACTCAGTAGTATCATGGTGGTGGTGAAGTGCCATTGAGTCGTAGATAACTAAGAGCGACCCTTTGAAGGAAAGACCTGAACATTTGTATAACTTTCATCATTTCTCCAAGTTCATAGAGTTTCCAGAGACAAGCTGTTTTGGAAGTGGATGCCATTCCTGCTTCCAAGCTTGTTTTAATCAGGGAGTTCCACCAAACACTATCCACCATGGGTAACCATTATCACATTTGATACATCAGTGTCACAGTGTTTAGCATCACAGCAACCTCGAGTTATCTCTGTATAGCCACAGACCAGTACCATACCACTTAGAAGAATGATGAAAAACAATTAAAACCAGGCCTGAGGGCCGCAGACAAATCACCCACTGTTGGCTTGGTAGCATCACTTTCTATCGACTAGGCCAACAGATTTCTCTCTTTGTTGTTGTTAGGTGCCGTGGAGTTATAGATGACTCATAGCGACCCTAGTATGGAGTTTTGTTTAATTTTTTATTGATGCTTTCATTCTTGTTCTTACCATTCCCTCACCACCCGATGCACACAAACAAATTTAGTGAGATTCAGAGTGGTCAGATAGTACTAAGACATCTGTGGGCTGCTTGAACGTGTGAGAAACTAAAGCAGAGACACCCACAGAAAAGCCAGCAGTACAAATGCAATAGCCATCTGGGAGAGGCAGAACCCCTGCGCCTCAGCCAAGGGTCAGCAGGATTAGGTGATAAGGTGGGGATCCGGCATAAAGGCAGACGTGATTGGAGTAGAAAAGGTGAAAGTACAGCGAGAATATGTGCCAGTGCCAAAGAAGCCACCATGCCATGGGATTATCCTGTGAGGCATAACCAAATTCTAGGAGAGTTGGGCTAACTGAACGGCCATACCCACAGGAGTGAATGGCCACCCCTGCCCTGGCTCTGTTGCCCACTAGTGCAGTTCCCAGCCTCTCACCTGGATCTGAGCCAAGTGAGAACTACAGAAAGATGGCTGAGTAAACTAGATTATCTGATCAGCAACTTATAATCAGTTATTCAGGTGCATAATAGTCATATGGGCAAAATAATGTTCTATAAGATAGAATTTGTTTCTTAACCAAGGGAAATGGTTTGTTGTACCAGGGTCATGTATTGGAGAACTAAAGAGCCTTGCAGGGAGCTCTGTTGGTGTCGTCCGTAGCAAAGACTGTCTGGCAGTTTGAAGCCATCAGCAGATCCCTGGGGCAAAAGATGAGCAGTTTCTTCCCGTTACATCTTGGAGCCTCTGAAACCAAACGGAGGATCTCACAACCCTGAGAACCTTCTTGATCGATCTAGAAGAAAATGTAATCATTTTGAAAGATATTTATTCCATAGTCAGTGAAGGAAAGCCTGTTTAAAAAAAAATAACTTGTATAGTGTTTGAGGGGAAAGTTTATTTTCTTGAGGAGGGAAGTTTAAAAGCAATAATAGCTCAAATTTTAACAACTTTTGCTATGTGCTAGACAACATTCTAGACCTGCGCTGCTCTCATCATACTCAAGTCAAGATTTGGAGGCACTAAATGTCTTGTCCAGAGTGACTCAACTAGCATATGATTGAATTGGATTCCAACAGAGAATTTAAGACACTTTTTTAGAAAAACTTTTATTATTATATTTGTGTGTGTACCGTCAAATCAGATCTGACTAGTACAGGAGGAGATTGTTCCCTCTTCTCCAGCACAGCATCTGGTGGATTTGAACCATGCACCTCTGGGATTACAGTGTATCTTCTTGCCACTAGGCCACCAGAGCTCGCTAGGATTTAAGACATTTTTACACACCACACATATTATGTAGTCAGATTAGATGAGGGTTTGTCTTTTTGCTTATCTACTGTATCTGCATTATCTTTATAATAAATATTTCCTCCATTTTTTTAATTGTATGCATGTAGTTTGGAGCAAGGGGCATAAATAACATGTTTTAGATGCCAAAAATTGAAATTAAAAAAAATTGTTATATAAAATTGTTATTGATTTTGTTGTTATGTGCTGTTGAGTCACCTGCAACTCATAGTAATGCTATGGACAACAGCCCTAAACCCTGCCCTGCCCTGTCCTGTACCAATCTTATTGTCTATGACACACCTATGCCCATTACCCCAGTCACTGAATCAATCCATCTCATCAAGGTCTTCCTCTCCTGTCCTGTCCCTCAACCCTCCCAAGCCTGACATCTCTCTCCAAGAACTAGTCCCTCCTTGCAACATGTCTAAAGTATGTCAGATGGAGTTTCAGAATCCTTGCCTCCAAGGAACAGCCTGGTCTCACCCTCTCCAAGACAAACTTGTTCTCCTAGTGGTCCATGGTATTTTCAATACTTTCTCTAGCACCAAAACTCAAAGGCATCAATTCTCCCATCATCCCTAATCATTGTCCAGCTTTCTGCCACATAACAAGTAATTGCAAAGACTATGGCCTGGATCAGGCAAACTTTAGTCTGCAGATTGACATTGTTGCTCTTGGGTACTTTGGAGAGGTCTCTGACAGCAGACTTTCCCAATGCAATTCATCTTTTAATTTCCTGACTGCTGGTGCCAGAGTGTTGATTGTGGAGTCAAGCAAACTGAAGTTGTTAAAAATCTCAGTCTCTTCACCATCTCTCATGATGCTGCTGGTTGGCCCAGTGGTGAGAATCTTTGTTTCCTTGTTGTTGAGTTTGAATCCATATTGAAAGCTGCAGTCTTT